GCATGGTCACTGGTTCAATGGTTTCGGCGCCGGAACAGAAATGCTATTCACGTTCGCACTTGCTTTGGAGATCCTCACTTTTATCGTATGCTCGGTGTGTATTTTACTTCGTTTCCAGCTGTGTACCGAGCAGTATTCGTTTGGTTAGATGGTCCTGCTGGTCGAATAGCGCGATGTTGGAGACGTTACTGGGCGAAGCTGCATCCACCACCAAAGCCTGTCTCTTTGCCTCCCAGTTCTAATGCAACACTTAAAGGAAAGAAGAAACCAAACGCATCCATTCGACAGTCTCGAAGTCCAACTCGAACCGAGATTCGTGGAAAAGTATCTGCACCTTTATCCACTTCTCTGTCTCCAACGAAAAAGCCACGTATCAGCGATCGAAACCACAAACAAGCGAAGACAGCGAAGCCTGGAAGAAAAACAGAGAGAAACAACAGCATCAAGCCACGAAATGAAGTTATTGCGACTCCTGGATTAAATAACAATGCACTATCTGTCCAGGACAATCAACAGTTTCAAAGCGACCAGAATGATTCTACAATAAAAAACCGTTGTGATAATCTCAAGATCAACACTTCAGCAAAGAAGTCCAGCGAATTCGACGAGCATTCATCAATGAAACGAAGGTTCAGTGCTGTCAAGTAAGAAAAAAAAAATGATCGGTGTACGAACTTACACAATGATTCTAATTGAGTTAATAATTTTTCTGGTAGACGCCTGCGAGCCAAGCGTTCAAGCGCAGATCCGACAAGCGAAAAACCTTCATCTGCTGGTGTTGAGAAGCATTCTAGTGATGAAGAACAAATTATAGCGCGGTCATCCAGTATGAGCTTGTTGGACGTGTATCCGCTTGACTTATCAAGGACGGAAGATTTTATTGCGTCTTGCGGTCGAGAGCCTGGATTTGCGGATCTAGACTTAAACCAAGTGGGGGAGTTTGCTCGTCTGGCTCACTATCGATCACGAGTTCTCACCGGCAAGCATGCTTCAGTGAATAACTTGGACACAACTAAAGTGAAGCCTCAATGGCTTCAAGAAGTTGAGAAAGCAGTGACTTTCATTAAAACTCATCAGCAACACAACTTAGCAAGTTGCAAAGTGGTGGTCGAGGGCGACTCGATTGCCCATTTGTCTGAAGTTCACACGCGTTTGGTACTCATGATCACAACTCTTTGTCGACAATATACACGCGACTTTGGAGAAACTTCATTTACTCGACGACTGCGGGGAATAATCCGAAAGTTGATTGAATGGAAGTTCACGCGTATATCCGAAACGATCACTGCACTGAAAGACGCCAAGGCCGTCGCAATACAAGAAGAGAAGCAGAGGAATCTTGAATTTTACCACGTTCATCGCGCTTAAAACAAAATAAAACAAGACTGCACTGCCGTCGATACAATTTGATGCGTCTTAGATCACGTGGTCTTACTCATGCGGCTGCTTGGCTGGTAGTACTGGCCGTACCAGTCATTGTCGAACTGTTCTGTTCCTTTTGAGCCTCGCTAGTAGGCTCTGCGCTGTGATGACTTTCACTCCGTTGATTGTGGTAACTTGGGCCGCTGTTTGTACGACGATGGTGCAGAGACTGATGCTGCAGATACGCTTGTTGCTCTTCACTTTGTCGTGGAGAGCGGCCACGAGGTTGCTCCGAATGGGCACTACCAGGTCGCGACGTGGAGATGCGGTCGACATCCACCATCGAGAATGCTGCGCTTGCACCCACAGTATCACTGGGTGACATGAAGCTCGCAGTTTCGCGTTGAATTCGCGGTGGACCAGATCTTGCTCGCATGGTAGCGTACTGGGGATACGTGAGGCCATTCGTCATGGGGCTAGCTTGGCCTCCGGGTGAAGACGTCGAGTCTCGATAGTAACCTGTAGGCGTACCTGCTGCAACAGCACTTTCCGCGGCATCAGGGTTTCGTGCACCTAATCGATGGATGTAGCGTCCTTCAGCACGTATGCGATTGCGCGGGTGAGCTTCGAGCTGACGGTCAGACACAAACGCATCGCCTCGTTCGCGCCAACCAGGAGAGTCCGCAAAGCGG